TTCCGCCCCCCCATCCCTCATCCTCATCTCTCCTTCACTCCTCGCTCCTGCCGCCTTCCTCGCCCAGCATCTTGCTCCACGGTGTGGTAGGAGACCCGGCTTGACAAGGAAAGGAAGTCCATCAAATCTTTGTCTTTTCCTCCTGTTCCAGGAATGTCGTGCCCCCGAGTGCGTTTCCGTTTTCCCCATCCCTCGCTGTCCGTTCTCTTTGATGTGTCCTTCGTTCTTGGTTCTCTTTCGCCTCTGGTTCCACGTCCTTCTTCTTTCTCGCCTCCTCCTTCCTCCCAACTGCCTCATTTCCCAGTCTCCTTCCTCTCCTCCTTCCGTTTCACATCCTTCTTCTTATTCTCTTTCTCCTTCCTCCCCGCTGCGCCATTTTCCCTCCTCCCTCCTCCCAGTTTCTCCTTCCCGCCTTCCTATCTCCGCCTCCCTCATGCCTTTTCGGTTTTACAACGCTTCAAGACGGCCCAAGAGTCCCCAAGACCAAGACAGCCCACGAGGTCCACGCGACGGCTCGAATACGACCCCAGAGAACGCCAAGATGGTCCAACAGGCCGCCAAGACGGCCCAATAGGCCCTCAAGACGGCCCCAAGACAGGGCCAAGAGCGGAGATCCAAACCGACATTTCGAGCCCAGAGGCCAAGAGCCCCGGGGAGGTCTCCGAGGCGCCCCAAAAAGTCCCACGAGGCCACCAGGCGATCTCCAACAAAAGCCAGAGAGGCTCCATTCCCCAGAACTCCCCAGGAGCCCTCCAAGAACGTCCCCCAAAGGTATATACAGAGATTCCCAGCACGGTTTCGCCCGGCTCTTAGGGGCTCCCAGGCATGCCCCCTTAGGTTGACCTGGGTCCTCCTCGTGGCTACCTTGCGCGACTTGCTTGAGCCTCATTCACTCCTGTAACGTGTATCTAGCAGTACGCTCCCATATTGTGATCCTTGCGGGATGGTGTCCATCATCATCCGTCCTGTGAGGTTGGCGTCGACTGCGCTAGAACCTAAGCGCACGAAGCGGGCGCGTGGTTCTAGTTCTAGTGTAGAATGTACTCGGTCATGCTCCGCTCCGCCAAAGCATGTTTCACCAGGTTCTGGTAGGACTGGTGATGTGACAACGCTGTTGGCTATGCTGTGTTATGATAGGTTGTGGGATGTAATGCTGTGATATCGTGTATCACGATGTCCCATGCTATTCTCATTATAGTCTAATGACCCATGTGCGTAATAGCATGTTATGTGAAGGGTATGCGTTGCCACAGTGCTAGCAGTAGTGTTTCGTTTCGTTTGCAGTCTTGCTTGTTGTTGCATCCCAGTGCGGCCATGTTTGTCCTAGTGTGATGCCGTATGCATGGTATGATACCTTGCAGTATGATTCGGTATGCCATGATTTGCAGTGGCATGTTATGCTATGTTATGGTATTGTGACTCATGTTATGGTATGCGGTGACCTGTCACAGTGTATTACATTGCGCATGTGGGTGTTATGTTACGGTGCGTGGTGATATGTTACGTTGTATTACGATGCTGTTGGTATGCTCTGTGATGCTCTGTTCTGTCATCGTAGGTGTGTTGTGATCGATGCGTCAGCTGTTGTTGCTGTGCGCTCTTTATGCGTGCTGTTATGCCTCTTTGTTCAAGCCAGTGACGCCTAGACGGCGTGACTCCGTGACGCCTCTCCTCGGGATTCTGCGGGGTCTGGCGACCGCGGTATGGTGTCTTCACTCGTCGAGTACGCGAGGCGTGACACCCAGGGGCACTGGGAGATCCTGTGTGGTCTGGTGACCGCGGCAGAGTGCCGTCATCCGTCGAGGACGCGAGTCGAAACACGCAGGGACACTAGGGATCCTGTGGGGTCTGGCGACCGCGGTATGCTAGTTGAGCAGACAGGAGCTCTTCTTGTAAGATCTACACATGGTTCATGTCTAATTATTCGAAAGTTCTTTGATTTTTTGGGGGCCAAGATCATTTCATTTTGAATTGTTCTATCCTGGGCCCCTTCCTGGCCACTAGGGGGGGCCAGGAGCAATTAGAAACGAACACAATTAGAAGTGAGCAGACAGGAGCTCTTCTTGTAAGATCTTAGAGACCCAGGCTGTCGGGTGGGGAAACAAGTCCGGTCCTCTCCGGACATCCTGCTTTCCTCTCGTGCCGCCCTGTGTCGCCTGGTCGGTGCCTTCATGTCCCCATTCTCCTGGCGTGCGCCCAAGTCTCCTTGGCCCCCCGGCCCAGCTCGCTTGCCTGCGGTTGCTTCCTCTCTGCTTATCGTCCTTCTCTTTCACTTCTTCCCTGGCGGATGTCTTCCCTCAGTCCCGTCCCGCCTGCTCGACCGCCTGCCTCGTTCGCTGGGCTTGGTTTCCCACCCGTGCGCTCGTTTTTTTAATCTGCTGGCTCTTGCCCCTGAAAGAATTACACGCCGGTCGTTGAAAGTAGGTATTTCTGGATTCCCAGATCCAAATCTATTTCAAGCGCCTTCCTACTTCAAGAACCGACATGCTTTTGCTGTGTTTTGTTATTCTCTGGGAGGACCTGGACCCAATCCACTATATCCGCCTTCCTACTTCATGTTTCTACCTACGTGTATTAGTGTTCTCTTCCTGTGATGCCAATGAGATCGCTGACAGAAGCCACTTGTCCATCTTGTCCAGGCCGTCCAAGGGCCCAAGATGGGTGTATCTACTCCGCCCTGGTAAGGCCAGGCATGCCAGGCAGTCCCATGGACACAGCGCGGCTTCTGCACGGATGCCCCGCTTGGAACGCATCCACGCGATCACAGGCCCAGAGGAGTCGCACCTTGGTGTCCAGACCGCGCGGGCACTGATATGGATAAGCCCTTGATCTCCGCTGTTATGTTTGTTTTCGCAGCGTGTGCCCCGGGAACGAGGCACTTCTCCCCGGGACCGGCGCTTCCGCCCAAGGTATCATATGACGGCCCCATCGCGGCGCGGCAGAAGCCCCCTCCCGAAGGCCAGCAGCGGCCAGAAGCCGCCCGCCTTGATGTTTCTCATCACGGAGGCACTGCCACCCTCCTGCTCCACCTCCTCCTGCTCCTCCTCTTCCTCTTCCTCTTCCTCCTCCTCCTCCTCCTCCTCCTCCTCCTCCTCCTCCTCCTCCCTTGGCTTGCCCGCGGGGTAAACCAGGGTCGGACGGATGCCTGTTTGGGCTGCTTCGGGGCCCTTCCCTCGTCGCCACGGCGTCCGTGCGGCGTGCTCGAGGCGGCGCGGGACCCTTGACATCTGGGGCCCTGGCGGTCGTCAGCTTGCTGACGGCCGCCAGGGCCTCTCTTATGCTGTCCCATCCATCCTCCTCCTCCTCCTCCTCCTCCTCCTCCTCCTCCTCCTCCTCCTCCTCCTCCTCCTCCTCCTCCTCCTCCTCCTCCGCCCGAGTGCACCGCTTGCTTGCGTCAGCGCCGGCTCGATCTCGAGGGCGGGGCCGCTCGGTGCGCGCCGCACCGGCAGCAGGGCCCAGACCGAGTAGACGGGTTCGGAGGATCGCGCGGCATCGGCGATGCATCCGTCGCCGATGCGGAAGCGGATGTCCGCGCGGATGTCCTGGACGTCCGCTCGGATGTCCGCACGGATGTCCTGGATCGGCGCTGGACCCTCCTCCCTGGTGCGCGGAACGTGCCAGGGGCGGCGCTGGAAACGCCGCCAGGGGGGCCCAGTTCCGACCCAAGAAGTCCGTGTGGACTTCCGAGAGGTAATGTTTATGTTGTGCTTCTTCATTCGAGGGGAAGACGAGCGCTGACCAGGATCAAGATATCGTGGGCTCTTGTCGAGGCTGATCTTGCCAGATATTCATGCCAACCGTCGCCGTCTCGCGAGTATGATCCACGAATTGGCGCTGACAAAAATGAGCGGTGACCAAGATCGGCACGACGTTTCCGAGTTCATTCTTGGTCATAGCCCCCGCGTTCTTCCCCTCCATTCTTCGAGCCGAGGCTACGACCGCTACGCCGTGCCCAAGTGGGTACGGGCGGGCTCCCTTGCGGAGTCAAGCGTTGGCGAAGCGTCCTGCCTTGCCTAACATCCCAGCGAACAATGATCTAAGAGGCGGTTTGTACGACATGTTTTAAGAGCATCTACGGTTGAGACAGTCGCGCTTAAAAACATTCGGTTGTCTGTTCTAAGAACATTGGCTTTTCTATAGAGGCACTCTTTTGTTCTCAGGGAGCTTCGTGGTAGGCCTAGAGGAATGCTGGGGCATCCGGTCCCTGCTCAACGGAGCGCCCACGGCTCCGGCGCTCCTTGCCGACCCTGCGACCAGACATGGCGAGAAAGCCGCGAAAGCGTCGACGACCACGAGGCGGAGACCCGGACCAGATCTTCCTGCGGAGCTCCCCGAGCCAGCTCGATCTGCGAAGGCCCCGGGGGGCCGAGCGGGGCGAGAGCGCACGGCGTGACCACGGCGCGGCGCTCGCCTCTCGGGGGAGGCCGCCCCTCGCAGCCTGCGCCTCCCGCGCCCTCCGCGCGGCAGGTTCCGGGCTGCCGCGGCCGCCACCGCGGCCGCTCCAGCGGCCGCCGTCGAGGCCGCCGCGGCACTTTCCGCGCGGAGGGCCCGGCAGGTTTATCACCACCCACCAAACCACCCCAACCCAACCCGAAGGCTCACATTTACCCTCGATTTCCAGTGGGGGGGGGGGGCGGGAAACGTCGAAAAAACACATGTGGAACCCTTACCCCCCCAACCCGAAATTCGGGTCTTCGGGATGGGTTGGGGTGGTCTGGTAGGTAGTCAGTTTAAGCCGGGCCTGTCCCTCTACAGGAGGAGTATCCAAGACGAGTCGGAAGATAGTCTTGGGGGCGATGTTTGGAATGTTTGTGGATCTCGGGTTGGAGCAGTGTTCGGCTACTCTATAGGTTTCGTCCAAAATCCCCGTGGATGAGGACAGGCCCGACTTCATGGAAGGTGCAGGGGACGGCCACCGTCGACGGCCGCCGCGCCATGCCTCGATGGGCGCGGCTCCAGCGAGCGATGTCGTTCGCTCGCTCCTCCCCGCTGGCTCCGAGGTTGCCGCCGCAGGGCGCCAAGGGCGGCGAGTCCTGCCTGGTGCGGAGGCGGCGCCAGAGCTCGCGGTGCACGCCGCGGTCCCCGTCGCCGGCGGGGCGCGGGCGTGGGCGGGGGATCCGAACATCCGATTCGAGCTGCAGGGTCTTGTGGCGCTGCCGTGCGTCACCAGCGGGCTCCCAGCCGCGGGGTGCCTTCCAGCGGCTGCGCCTCGCCGAGAGCGTTCTGGGGCTGCCCGGATCGCCCCGAGCGGCCGCCGAAGAGCCGAGGTGTGACCCGAGGGCCAGGGGCAATGCCCGGGGGGGATCGGCTCGGGGGGGAGGCATCGGCCCCCCAGTTTCCCAGCGGTCGCCGGAAGAGGCACGAGGGCCCCAGTCCGCCCAGGAGCGTTCGGAGTCGCTATCGCGAGCCTGTTGCCAATCGTCCTCGGCGAGGTTCCCCCCCTGCTCCCCCCCCCCGGGCTGGTTCCCCCCTGACGTCCCCCCTCGGGGGAGGGCCGTGCACGTTTGGCAGAAAGGAGGCTTCCCAGAACGGGCCCTGGCTATCTCGAGGGGTATAACACTCGACTTGAGGCGGGCGTGTCCCTCTACAGGAGGAGTGCCCCAAAATAGTCCACAACTAGTCCGGGACTTTTTTTTTAGCATTCATTGCTCATACTCTTAGAAAAAATAGATGTTGTGGCAATTCCTTTTTTCTCCGAAATCTGCCCGTAGTGGGACAAGCCCGACCTAACTTTTTACCTCTCGTCTTCGGCGGAAGGCCGGCGAAAGTAACACGAGGGCGGCTCTGCCGGCGGCCTGCCAAGGCAAAAGTGGGCCCTCCCAAGAGATGACGGCATTCTTGGATTCCTCCCTCCTCCCTCCTACCTCCCTCCCCCTCCCTCCTCCCTCCTCCCTACCTCCCTCCCTCCTGCCGCATGCCTCCCTCCTCCTGGTGAGGGGATGGTGCATACTGCCAGCGGCACCGCTGTGAAGCATTGAAATGTCAGGCAGGGACGACAACCACAGGCAGAATCGGCAGGATGAGGATCAACAAAAGTCGAGCTTGAGGCTGTTCTGCAGTTCCGGCCTCCCGGGTCCATGTTCGGGCAGTGGGGTCGTCAGAAGTCGATCCAGGATGCGAAATTGGCTTGAATGGATGCTATGAGGGGTCTGGGCACCGATTTGAGCGGATTCGTAGGTCGGAGGAGCAAGTGGATGAGGAGTGAGGCCTGAGGAGGGAGGAGATGATGAAGGGTGAAAGGAGGAGGGAGGGAAGAAGGGAGTAGCCACGGAGGGAGGAGGGAAGGAGGTAGGAGGGAGGAGCAGGGGAAATGGCAGGAGTGTGGAAAATCAACAGCAGGTTTTTCGGACGTCCAGGGTCTAAGATGTCGTCCAACGTGTTCACTTTGTTTTCACATCCAGGAGGTCAGGTCATCCTGTATCTCGGAGTACGCCTGAGCCTCCGTCCGCGTCATTTCTCATTCACAATAATAAAATCCCATTGTACAGCATGAAGTTTCCTCATCATCTTCTCTATCATCCCGTCTCTCGTGAGACATCCCAAACTCTGCCGACATGTGTGCAAAAAGTCCCCTTTCTATTGAAGCACGCCCTTGCACGTTTTTACGCCGCGTGGCGCTGCATCTGGAGATTCGACAGAAACGTCTGTATTGTTTTCGTCTGTCTCTTCTTGACTCCTCCAGTGGCCTGACTATGTCTCCGGGGTTCATCTCTGCACTCGTCATATTTGTCTCCCATGCCATATTGATCCCATCCGTTCCTCCCCAACGCGCTGCTAAACTCCCTCCTTCACCTTCTCCCCATTCGTCCACGGACTGGTACACTCCGTTTTGTTTCCAGTCAGGATTTGTCTTCTTCAGCTTGCCTGCGTTCACTCCTCCAGCGAATCTTGAGGGCCTTCATGTCGTGGCCCTTCTAGTCGCGCAGCTGGTACATCACTTGTCCCAGCTGCTTGTCAATTGCTCGCTGTTTCGAGTCACAATAGCGGTTTATGCCGTACCTCCCCCAGTTGACCATTTGCGGGGAGACGGGGTTTTCGGAAATTTGTATTTGAGCGAGTTTGCGAATTGGAGTGGCCCAATTTTAGACGTCCCGCTGAATACGTCTTCTTACGGGCTGCTTCGTTCGCTCGGCTAGTGGGAGTGTTCGTGTGATGGTATGCATGTTTTGAGTGAGTTGTTGTTCTGGCTTAGCGTGGCGATGCCCCCCTTCATCGTCGTCACCTCCCCCATCGCCATCCTGGCTGTATCCGTCGAAGTACGGCACCGCGCATCATATTGTATCATCTCGTCTGTCGGTGTGCGTGCTTGTTGTGCAGGTCCCCTCGAGCTCCAAATGCAGATGCCCACTCAAGCCTCAGATGCGGATGCCCTCTCGAGCCCCAGATGTCTTTTCGAGTCCCAGATGTCCCGACTGTTTACGCAGGCCGAAAGATTGTCCCCTCGAATCGCAGGTGCTGATGTCCTGAACATCATTATCCGATTGATGTTCCTCCATCCGCGTCGTCTTCATCCCGCACATTTCTTCGCGCGTCATGTTGACGGGGAGTGAGAACCCCTCCCCCGTGTATGCATAGCTTGACATTGTTGTGAAAATCCACGGCTCGGTGGATTAAGTTTCTGGTGGGTTCACGATTTCAAGGGTTAGTATGTATAGGGGATGAATGCGGCCAATGAATATTCCACACGCGCACAAACATGTTAGCCAGCGTTAAACCCAATCATCATGTCTCTACCAATATATATATATATACATATATATGTATATATATATATGTATTGTGCGTCTTACGTAGGGTAATATATGTGGTGCAACCGATGTGATGAAACATAGGCGGCGCAGTATATGTGCTGCAACCGATATGGTGCGATCTGTGTTGTACCGTCTCTGTTGTGCAATCTAGGTCGTGCGATCTGTGTTGTGCCACCTGCGTGGTGCCATATACGTCGTGCAATGTATCTTTGGAGAACTTTGGGTTGACGGCCCCACTGCTCGAAGAAGCATCCCACCCTCTCACCCGCAACTTGGTTTGCAAAACCCATGCGGCGGCGATTGCGATGAGTGCTCGGTGTTAGCTGGTGCATCTCTGCGGCCGCGCTGGCCCGCGCATGCTCGCGCGCACAGCGGCCAGCTGGGTGAGCGCGACCCACGCGGCCGCGGCAGCGCTGACCGCGGGCATTTCCCAGCGAGCATATCAGTGCGAGTCGGTAACTTTGGCGGACGCGGAACCACGGTGACGTCGACAACGGTAGACCCGATGATAGTCGTATCCACGATGGTGGCGCTGATGACGATGACGACCGCCAGGCTAGTGACGGCGTAGGTGCTGACCACGCCGATGGCGATGACGATGCCCCCCGCGTCGGTGGTGAAAGTTTTGGCAGGAGTCCGACACGCGCGCACGTCCGACGCTCTCGAGAGGCCCGCATGGTATTGTTTGGCAGGGATCGTTCCCCACCAGCACGCGCGCAAGGGCGTTCGGATGATTTGGACATGCGGCGAGAGGCCCAATTCGTCACATTGGATGATCATGTTGAAAACAAGGATTTGTTGTTCACGCAAAACCTTAACTTCTTGGTTGTTCTACACGTTCGCAAGATCGCGAGAGCATGTTGGTTGTCCGGAGAATCCCAAGTTGCGAAAGCGTTTGGTTTTGAAGTGTTTTCGGGCATTCCCGTGGCATCTGGGATGTTTGGAGGATTGTGTTACTCGCGCGGGACGTCGCGGGTTGTTGCTTGTTCTTTCATGTCTTTCGCAAGGGAAATTTGGTGATTGTTGTTTCACGGGCGCGCGCACAACATGTTTCGCGAAGGATGCGGTGGGTGATACGGGGATGCTTGGGATGTGGAGTGCAGAATCAGACATTTAAAACATTACGAGCACTGCGGGCTTTAAGTCCGTGGGAGGAAACGTAGATCCAAATACGCTTTTAGACAAAAGCGGTACCGCTGTGGGGCAATAGATGTGGTGCGACCTATGTGGTGCCATTTACGCGTTGCGATCTGTATAGTGCAAGCATCGTGGTGCGATCTACGCCGCGCCATCTATGGAGTGCAGTATCGATCGTGTGGTCTATGTTATGAAACCTATATGATGCAATCAATGTTGGACAATATTTGTGAAGCCGTCTCGATGGTGCAACGTAGTTGGTACAAATTACGCGGCGCAACACATGCGGTGCAATCCACGCGGTGCAACATCTGTGGTACGAATTGTGTTGTGCCATCGATGGTTTGCAGTTTATGTGGAGTGTGATCCATGTTGGAAGCCAAAGCAACGCAACGTACGGCAAGTCATATCAAAGCACACCATCGGAATGCAACGCAACGTGAAGCAACGCAGCGCAATGCATGAACTGCGAAGTAACGAAATGTCGCGACGAGGCGGCGACGGGGCGGCGACGGCGACAACACAGCCGCCGCGCTGTCAATCAGGCACAGACGACAGGAGGCGACGAGGTGGCGACGGGGCGGCGGTGGCGAGCCTCCCTCCTCCCTCCTCCCTCCTCCCTCCTCCCTCCTCCCTCCTCAAACCGACAATCAGGCTCTGACGCCCGGCGGCGACGAGGCGGCGACGGGGCGGAGACGCCGAGCACGGCGCCGCCAGATCGACATCTGGGGCCACACGGCGGGCGGCGACGAGGCGGCGACGGAGATCACGGAGCCGACAGATCGACATCCTGGGCCAGTTCCACAGAGGGGAGAGGTAAGAAACCTTACGGTAGGTTCGCGTCGTGTCGACCGGCGGCGACCCCGCCGCCGACGTTCAACGTTGAACGCCGACGGCGGCCCAGAATCGGTCGATGTTGAACGATCGGACGTTGCGGAGACGGCCGATCGTTCAAGGTTGAACGATCCAGCGCGGTGTCAGGAACCAACGCCGGGGTCGTCACGACACAAACCTGACGTACATACTTCGCGGGGGGAACGGGGCCCAGAAGATGGACAAAGGGACCCACGAAACTTTCTGCAGACCTCGCGACGGGACTCAATGAGACCCATTGTTCTGCATGCAAGAGGACAAACATATGGTTGGGGGACAGAAGAACAGTCCGAACACATCGCTTCCGCTGGTGCGCGAAATGCAAGTCAAAACCTACTTCCGCAGTCCGAGAGAATGTCCGGTCGAACCCCTGATGTCGATGTCAAGAGCATTGTTCTCCCGTTGTTCTTCCTCATCCTCCTCTTCCGCGCCCTCTCCACCCCCACCACTCTTAGCGCGCCATGCTTTGGGGGAGCTGAGCCACCTCCTCTTGCACAACCGTATCATCGGTATTCAGATCCAGGATTTTGACGATCCCATTTGTTGTAGGCATTGGATGTTATTTATTCGCACACGTGTGTTCCGGGGGAGATACGGGGTCCACGACGCTACCACACCCCAGCGTAAATAATCAAGTGGGGCTAGGATCCACGAAACCCTTGCACCAAACATGGCGGGATCCAGTGAGGCTCGTTGTTTCGAATGCAAGAGGGAAGCTGTTGGCCTGGTTATGAAGGGCATTTGCGGATACGCCGCTTGCTTTTGAAGGGGGGACGCAAGTTAACCCCCCATTCACGCAAGCCGGAAGATGCTCGTCTTGAGCCCTAGAAGCCGATGTCCTGAACATCATTACCCTGCTGTGTTTCCTCGCCCTCCTCCACTGCTGCTTGTTCTCTTTCGTATCCCACGAGCCCTTGGATCCCCCCTTGGTTCAATATTGCCACGGAGGAGCGAGGATCGCGAATGGGGAAACGCGAAGGAGGAATACCACGAGGAGAAAGGGAAGCGAGGAGGGGGAGGAGGAGCAAGAGAAGGATTTGGTTTCGGACAGGGACGACGAGTAACGAGAAGGAAGGAGGAAGCGGTAGGAGGGGGAGGTGAGAGGGAGGCATGAGAAGGAACAACAAGGAACGAAGAGGAAGATAAGGGCACAGGTAGAGATGGAGGAGGAGTTTTCAGGCGAAAGGGTGTGAATGAGGATGTCGTTCCGTCCTTTTCTCATCCGCCGTCTCTTCATTCCATGACCTTCTCTACGAGGGCATCAGGCATGCCACCATCGTCATCACCACCACTACGGCTACCACTATCAGCATCACCTCCACCTCCATCTTCCCCGTGCCCAGCAAGTTCGCAAGTCTGCCATTTGCATTCGAGAGCGCAGGCGCGCTCATGATCGCCATCACCATGGCCACCATGATCACGACCACCGTCCTGCATCCAGCGGCCCGAGCAGACACGGGCCTCTTCGGTACAACAAACAAGTTCATAAGCATATCGATCATCTCTTAACGATGGCACCCACTGTCACCCAGCAGCTGGCGGCGCTGAACATCGCGAACGCCAAGACAAACTTCTACGATACCGACAGCCTGGACCCCGAGATCCGACGTTCAGAGAAAACAACAGCATCGCGAGACTTTACAACTGGAGCTCTACGGTTGGTTCGCGTCGTGTCGACCGGCGGCGACCCCGCCGCCGGCGTTCAACGTGGAACGCCGCCAGCGAGCCAAAATCGGTCCACATTCAATGATCGCATGACACGAACTTGCCGTAGACCCCGTCTCGCTGTCATTTTCGAAGCTGGATCGCTCTGTGATGCCCCTGGGGCCCGGAACCAGGCGAGGATCTCAGGGGATTCCGACGCGAGCGCTGGACTCCAACAGGACGACAGGCGCTTGGGCGTTGCCAAATGGGGGGTCACATCATGAGATCCTGGTATACCCTCGCAACTCCCTCTTTAGAGTGCACGCGCGTCGATTAGCATTTGGCAGTCGATGAGGTGCGCCCACTTAGCGTCGATTAGCGACGACTGGCGTCGATTAGCGTCGGTTTAGCGTCGGCCAGCGTCGACTAGCGTCGGCCAGCGGCGATGAACGCTGATTCGCAGGAGCCAGCAAGATGGTATGGGAGGCGCTCATGAGATGCCGCAGAAGGGGGCGATAAATACGGGGGCGAGTAAACGTGCACCTTCCCCGCCCCTTTTGGGCCCCAGGGGCCTTGTTTAGGGCCCCTAAGGTGCACAAAAGGTGCACCTTTTTTACCCCCCCCATTCCCAGACATCCCACGTCTTGAATCTCTCAAATACTGGTTCCCTGGAAGTCACGACCCTTTCCCCGGGGCTGGTTTTTCATCATGAGTCGTTTTCGTGCGGTCCGAGCGCCCGGCAAGGGCCTCCAGAGCCGATTATTGATATTTTCTACGCGTGGGATTTTACGGTCAAGAGTTTTGTGTCGCCCCGCCGGTTCTGGACCACTACACCTCGGCGCGACACGCGGTCGACGTCCCCATTCCCAGGTGTCAGCGTCCCGATCTTTTCCTGGCGTCCCGCCCCGCGGAGCTGGGCGACACGCTGTCCGCTTGCAGTGCACAGCATGTCGCCGGTGCCGCCGCCGCGACACGCTACCCCAAAAATCCTGACCGCCCAGACCCTCGGAGATGTTGGGCCTTCGTGTTGAAGAGAGCGCCCCGCGTCACTCCTAACTTCGTTCCTTCCTCCTCCTCCTCCTCTTCCTCCTCCCTCCTCCCCCGTCCTCCCGCTCCTCCCATCCCTTGCACCCCTCACACGATCCTTGGGCCCATAGGGAGCTCCACCGATGGCCCCAGTGGCAGGGTTCGCATGCGGCTCCACCCCCATTTCGGCACATCTTTAACACGTTCCGTGGCCCCATAGGGAGCTCCACCGATGGCTTCACTGGCAGGATTCGCATGCGGCTCCACCCGCAATTTCGGCATATCACTCACGCGTTTCGTGGACCTATAAGGAGCTCCACCGAAGGCCCCAGTGGCAGGATTCGCATGCGGTTCCACACCCCGATGTCAGTAACCCCTCGCACGTTTCGTGGGCCCATAGAAAACTCCGTCTAGTTCTCTCTCCAGTGGCAGGGTTCGCATGCGGTTCCACCCCCAAAGTCGGCACACCCCTCACACGTTTCGTGGCCCAGTAGGGAGCTCCACCGCAGACCCCAGTGCCAGGGTTCGCATGCTGTTCCACCACCATTTCTGCACACCCTCACACGTGTTGAAGCCCCATAGGGAGCTCCACCGAAGGCCCCAGTGGCTGGGTTCGCATGCGGTTCCACCCCAATGTCGGCGTACCCCATCGCACGTTTCGTTGCCCCATAGGGAGTTCCACCGAAGGCCGTCATGGCAGGGTTCGTATGCGGTTCCACCCCGAATTTCGGTATACCCCTCAGACGTTTCGTGGTCCTATAAGGGGCTCCACCGAAGGCCCCAATGGCAGGGTTCGCATGCGGTTCCATCCCCAATGTTAGTACACCAATTACACGCTTCGTGGTCCTGTGAGGAGTTCCACCGAAGGCCCCAGTGGCAGGGTTCCAATGCGGTTCCACCCCCAATGTCAGGACACCCCTCACGCGTTTCGTGGGCCCATAGAAGACTTCGCCTATTTCCCAAGTGACAGGGTTCGGATGTTCCACCCCCAGCTTCTGCACACCCCTCCAGGTTTCGTAACTCTAGAGGGAGCTCCACCGAAGGCCCTAGTGGTAGGGTTCGCATGCGGTTCCACTCCCATTTCGGCACTTCTTTCACACGCTTCGTGGCCCCATAGGCCATAGGGAGATCCACCGACGAAGATGCTCACAACTGTGGCACAAACAACTGCATATGGTTGGGTCCTTCGCCAGGATTATTTTTTATTACGTGGGCCCCCAGCGGTCTGGACCTATTCCCAGGGGCCAGTTTTTTATTCCAAGTCTTCTGTGGACGGTCCCGAGGGCTGGGATGGGTCACCAGAGGCCGAAATCATGGGGAAAAACTTGCCGTCCTGATTTTTCAATACGTTGGATGGCTGGGTTCACCGCTCCCCCATTCCTACTGTAGGCCCCTCAAACGGGGTCCGAGTAGACAGGGCGGAAGGATCGCGCCGCATCGCCGATGCGGCTCGATGTGGAGCCCGAGTTTCTCCACGCCGACGCTGCCGATGTATCGGCGATGCGGCGCTGTCCTCCGACCCTAACTGCCCGGACACTACTCCAAATTTCGTAATAAAGCCATTTCAGACCTCCCCCGTGGGAGAACCCTCCAAAACATCGTCCCCAGACCCCCCAGGCCCTCCAAGATAGCCTGGAAGAGACCCCCCCCGAAATGAGACCCTCCTCCCTTTATTACGAAATCTGGAGTATCTAGTAGGCCTCTAATCACGCAGCGCCCGAGGCGCCCGGCGTCCGAGGAGCCCCTCGCCGAGTCCTGGGCCGACATAGAGGACGACGACGAGCCGCTCGTCGGCAAGCCCAGCGGCGCCGGCACGGGCGCCGCCGCCGCGCTCCAGGGCCGCCCCGTCTCCAACGAGCTGAGCCGGGGGCTGCCGCGCGCGGGAATCGGCGACTACGACCCAGACCCCCATCGAGTCATGAGGAACGCACGGCGGAGGGTTTTCGCAGTTTTCAGCCCCTGGGGGCCATTACGGGGCCCCGGGGCCGTCAAGGAACGACCCGGAATGAATACCGGTCCCGGGGAATGGGTCGAGACCTTTGGGGGTCCACGCCGTAAAGAAAACATGACGGCGGGAGGTCTGGGAAGACTCCCAGATGGGATCAGCCAGAGTAATTATTCACGCTTCGCGTACCCCCACCAGCGTTCAGCCTAGTGCGTGCTGGTCGCTCGCTCACTTCGCACGGTTAGCCCGCGTTTGGCGCCGGTATGGCGACTCATTCAGCTGTCTTCGCACTTGTAGCTCGCGCCTCACGGTTCGCTGCTACGCCTATGTGCGTCGTCTGCGAATTTAGTTCATTTTGTACTCTGCATGCGCAACTGAGAGCATGCTTGCAGGTGCGGTCGGCTGTCGACAGTGACGGCTGGATTCGCAAATTTACAATGTACCGCGCCCCGGACGTTGTGACCGCTCCCTGGGCTTTTCCTTGGAGCCGCGACCCAACAACAAAATATCCCCACCAGCAGGCGGTCGGCACCACCCTCCCAGCCCACAAGCTGTCCGACGGCAGATTGGGCCCGACTCGCACCGTACGAACACCTATTCCGCCATGTGCGACACCTGCCCTGTGGGGTCGCCACTGCTCGTGTGGTCGGCAACCAGTCCCGCACTCGGGTGCTTCATGTGGAGCCCGGAGCCAGGTGCGCCGTGCAACGCCGAGACAGGGCTACCGCCATGAGATACCATGCCCACGCTCTGGACCCAGCAGCAGTGGAATGCAGGATGGGCCTGCAGACGGTGCCTCATCCACATCTGGAACGTGGCGCCCGGCACGCTCGATCGCATCCTGGACCAGCACTCCGCTAGTGTTTACCCCATCGCACCCGCCAAGCGCGCAGCAACAGCAGAAGTGCAGGAGGAAAGCTACGACATCAGTGTCTACCTCCCCCCAACTGGCGCCAACGCAGCGGCCAAGGACACGTATTCAAGGCAATCGGCCACATGGGACGAGCTCACCCCCAACGGCAGGAAGCACGACAGCGGCGCAGGAGAAAGCAGCGAACCAAACAAGGTCGGACGCGACATCAAATCCCTGTTCCCCGACGTGGCCCCGCCAGAGTGCCCCGTTCTACCAACCCACTCCACCTTCAGGCTCACTGGGGTGGAGTCCGACGGCCCCGTTCGCTCCTTGGTGAAGTACCTGCTGGAATGGAACCATTCCGTCTACAAATGTTGGGCTGATTTCGTGCAGCGGCACGGTGCAGGCATCTCGGGGGACAAAACCGACGAGGGGTCGTGGCCCACAGCACGTCTGCTCCTTTTCCTGGGAATGATCTACGAGGATACGATCCCGAACGACTGTCACCCCCCCGACATCTCATGGGACGGGCAGCGGGCCGCAGTGGCCCGAGTGGTCTACCACCTAATGACATCCAACGGGAAGTACCAAGACAAATGGGACAGTTACGCTGCAATCCTGACCGAGCAGAGAGGTCAGTGCCCCCTCCGACAGCGGATCAGCACACTGCTGATATTCCTCATGGGAATTGACCACGCCGCCCTGGCCTACGGTACCATCACCGTCCTGGCCAATCGGGACCCACGCGAGGCAGGCACAGGCTCCTCAACGGCGGCTGAGTCCCCAGCAGCAGCCTGGCTGAACAGAGCAGGCGAAACCGATGCCCCCCCCCGGCAGACAGCCTCGGACCTGCACGGGAGGACACCTCTGTCCGTGCTCCCAGAGCGACCCCCCGTGCTACAGGAGCAGACGGGGGGTGTGACCCGCAGACAGAGGAGAGGGCCCAACCAACCAGGCAGGCAGAAGTGAAGGCGAACCGGATGGGATCGACTGGGGCGGGGACGGGGACAAGAAAAGCGAGTCAGACACAGCCGAGGACCCGAGCCCGGCGGTCAGCCCAACCCCGGTGGCGGATGAGGGAGAAGAGGAAGGTCCTGACCCCCTCAACCTCTTCCCGGACCCACCCAACAGGCCCGACGCCTGGTCCCCATGCGATCGGATCGTTGATCGGGGCGCCATCCGTGTTGTCAGGAGCGCGAGAGACAGCCCACAAAGAGCAGGCAGCGCAACCTGGAGCATCAGCGACACTAGGGGCGACCGGGCCCTCAGCCGCGCGAGCGGTGACAAGGGCCGCCAGCGACCCGCGTGGAAAGACACCAAGGACGGGGATGGCCGTGCCACCAAATCCCCAAGAGGCGACCCAGCGCGAGTGCAGATCTGCGAGGCGCCCTGGAAGGACGCAAGGACCACGCAGCCACCCCCAGAAGACCCAAACGACCCCATGGGAGGCATCCCCATGCACATGTGCCCCGTTACCGATGCTGACGCTGCAAAGAAGGAGCCCGTGCAGGATAAGATGATACGCCTGCAAAAGACGCTGGGTGGAGCGTTCAATGGAGTTTGGGCCGCATGGGTGAAGAGGGCCGCCCTGGGGCAGGGGATCAGCGGAAGCGAAAAGCACGACCTTAAGCGGGACACAATTCAGTCGCGCAGCGAGTTCTTCCAGGCCTGGGACGACGCAGGGCACGACGCCTACAAGATGGACAGCGACCTAGGGCTCAACGCCCACTGGCCGTCAGTCAAGGACAAGCACATGAAGCTCATGCACCGCGAACCCCGAGCCCGCGCTCAACGCGGGCCCGACAGCAGCAGTGGACCCGCCCCATGGGCGGCAGCGGGCAGGTCAGCCACGGCGGCGCCCGCGCATGATCGATGGGCAGGTGCCGTCGGCTCTGCCCCCCCCCCAACCGGTGGCAGGACTGGCAGGAGTGAAACTCCTGGGGCCACCAGAAAGCCCCGTGGACGGAAACAGACTGGAAAGGAAAAGGTAAGCGTTACTCCCCCGGGGGGGACGATCGATACACAGACAAGCGCGCCCGATGGTGGGGCAGGGAGGACTCGTGCGCCCAGGGCTAGCAGGGCCCAGTCAGCCTGTCAGCGCACCCCCAGCCCCCCTGGCCCGTCGCCTCCGCCTCCCCCCTTCCCCTCCCCCCCGCCGCTCCCCGTCGGGGAATGCTTCGCCTCGCAGCGCCCGGCCTCGGCCGCAATGCCCTGGGGCAACTCCCGCTGGGGCGGGGGTCTCCCCACTTCTCACCCAGGGCGCTGAATTGCTAGACAGCCCGCGCTGGAGAAATGTGCCCCTGCCTGGACATCTCACCCGCCTTCGCAGCTGGGCGGCCCCGGGACCGCCTACTTCGCTGTCCCACGGCGACAGCCACTCACCCTCGGTGACAAGGGGCGTCAGCAGATGCACCCCCCCCTGCGCACCCCCTTTGCTGTCCAGCCGCGACGGCCACCCACTCTCGGCGGCAGGGGGAAGTCGATTGAAACAGCCCCCCCCCCGCACGCCACCCGGCCGGGAGTCCCAGGCCCCAGTTCTGGCAGCTTCAGCTCCGGCGCGTATAGCTGCGGCACAAGAAACCCCCACGAGGCGCATCCCGCTGCTGGCTCACTCCAGCTGGGACCTCAGCGGCGAGGTACTGCCACCCCCCACGATGTAAATGGTGGTTTGCGGCGCTCAGCTGCGCCCCCCTCATGCGCAGGTGCTCTCGGCGAGTGGCAGATAACGATATTAATGGTTTCTTGCGGCGGTCAGCTGCACCCCCCTTTCCTCAGCGAAGGTGCTCTCCACCGGTTGCAGCCACCCCTGGGCGCACCAGGTGACTGACGACGCCCCCCGGCTCGGCTGCTGGCTGGCCGCGGTGAGAGGCGTTGCGTCCCCCGCCGCTCCCCATGGCCCGGTGGACGCCCCCTGCCCGCGCCCTCGGGGCCCGCCCGCGGCGGCCGTGATGGCCACGTCAGAAGGGCCCTCCCTGGCAGGCAACGCTGACGTCTCCACCCCATGTGCCGACCCGCAGCAATGTCGGCGGTGCTGCCTCCCGTCGGGCCTCTTCGCGGCAGGACCCGGCGGCGCGTTGGGCGGTCGCTGGCTCCCATCGGCACTGGGAGTTGTGCTCCGGAGGGCCTGGCTCTGGTTTGCGCAGCCGCCGCACAGCCTGTGGTTTCCCCCGCGCACCGTCTCGGCCGCCAGCGGGCCCATCCGCGCCAGGCGCCGGACTCGGCGCGCCTTGGTTGCCGCTGGCCCCCCCCGGCTGGGCGGAGGATTCCGAGGACAGAGCGCTGAGTGGTTCGGCCTTCCGCGCTCGCGTAGCCTCGTGTTTTCCACCGCGCTCAGCCCGGCTCCCCTGGTCAGTAGTTCGGCGCGGGCAGGTGGCCTGGATTTTGGCGCCGCACCGGCGATTCACTCCGCTGCATTCGCGCGCTCTGCAGCTTGTTTACTTCGGCTCACGCTGCGGCGCCTATGTGCGTTTGCTTGTGAATTTAGTTCATTGTGTCCTGTGCATGTGCAACTGCGCACTTGCTGTGCAGGTGCGAACTGGCTTGCCAACGTGGCGGCTGTGCTCGCAAATTCGCACCGTGCCGCATCCCGGACGCCGCTTCCGCTCCTTGACCGTTGCCGTGGAGCCGCCGAGCAAAAAAAGTATCCCCACCAGGCAGGGAATGGTGCTGCGTCGCATTCGCTGAGGTCAGGTGCCCCCTGGCCTGCTCCTGGCTGGCGTCGGCCCCTACTGATGGCCGGAAGGTTCCAGCGGGTTTCTCGCTACTCGGTTTACCTTGCGGCACTTCGACCTCGGGTTCGGCAAGCGTGGCTCTGCACGCTCGTTGGCCGACGTTATCCTGCGGACTTCGCGTTCGCCAAGTGTTACAGTTGTTACTGCCGTTTGCAGTATTGTCGGTGATGAGGTTGCCCCTCTTCACTCTTGCGCCGACACGATGTTTTGGCATTTGTGTCGCCTGCTTCACGGATGTCGTCTAGGTGTGCCTGTCGGCTTAGTTCGTCTCTCACGGTGCTGTTTGCCTGACTCACACCGAGCGATCGACCTCTGCCTGTTTATGGTCGCGCCGCCGCGCCTTTTTGGCTGCGCTTACTTGCTGGTCGCCACCGGGATTTCCAACGCCGCCGGGCTTGGGAGCATCGGTTCTTGCTGTCCTTCTGAGTGGCTGCCCGCTCGCGCGCTTCGCTTGCCTTTCTTTTCCTGCTGCCTTGTCGCGGCCCGACTAGTGCTCGGACGGATTTCGACCCGCCACGCGAACCTGTTGGCAAAAAAAATATCCCCACCAGGCGCTCCGGTGCCTTCGGTCGATTGGATCGGTCCCACCCGGTGCGCTAGCGCCCGCCCGCACCCCCCGCTCCGCGGCTGCGGATTCGACGCCAGTCGTCGACGGCGTCTGGCGATCCGGACCTTGGTCTGTTGAGCGCCTGCACGTGAGTTGGTCGACGCCTGGCGGCGCGTGTGATACGCCCGCTAACCGCGTGACCAAACGACTGTTGGTCGTGGGCCCTGCTCCTCGTGGTGCGTCTACGAGCCAGTGGCCACCGACTTCCAGCACGCCCGCGGTGTCGCCCAACCAGAATTCCCCGCCATTTTGGCGTTGCACCCCGCGTGGCGGCTTCCCCCCAGTCGACGGCGCCCTCCTCTGAGCGACAGCGAGGCCCGCCTCCTGTTTGTTCCTCCCTCCGCTGTCCTTTCGTTGCCTCCCCTCCCCCCTCCTGTTGCGCAATTCGCTCGTAGCCCGCATCCTGCGATTCTTGGACGGCGTCCGGCGTATCCCGGTGCGCTTGCGATCAAAAAAATACTCCCACCAGCCCATTCAAAAACCCTGCCCATGAGAGCTGACGGGAAAATGAGTGAAGAGACACATCTAGGAAAACAACGCGAGCAACCAGGGTGAACCGAGAGATCTCTGGGAGCAAGGGGGTGGCCTTGGAAAGCCTCTTCGGGACATCCCTGGGGGCCGCGTTGGGGCGAGGGGAAGAGGAGGAGGAGGAGGAGCAGGAGGAGGATGAAGACGAGGAGGAATAGGAGGACGAGGTCGCGGATGAGGACGAGGAGGACGAGGACTAGGCTGGTGCTGTTTCTGCTAGTGTTCTTTGGGAGTTTGGGGGGCCCTCTTGGAACCCTCTTGGTAACCCTGGAAAGTTTCTTGGGATCATCTTGGAGGTCATCGATTACAGCATGTGGGTCCCCAACTCAGCTCACCTTTCAGGAGCCGGCAACCCGTTTGTTGGGCTCTCTTGGAGCGCTCCTGGGCGTTCGTGGAGCGGTCTTGGGGCCGTCTGAAGTATCTTGGGAACCATCTTGAGCCAGCTTGGGATATCTGGGCCATCTTGGAGGTCATCTTGGGTTGTCAGAGGCCGCTGGGGGCCTCTTGGGGGCCTCTCGGGTGCATATTGGGGCCCTCTTGGGACCCTCTTGGAGCCCTCTTGGGGTTTTCTTCTTGGAAGCACTGGAGCGCCTCTTGGGGCCATCTTCGAGGCGATCGGTCAAAGGAAGGAAGCTTCCGATCGAGGCCCCCCCTTCGGGGGCCACGATCCTCATAATGGGGTGTCCAAAATTGGCCCTCCCAGGGGCCGAAAAAAGGCCCTCGAACGACCCGCGAACCCCCCAAAAAGTCCAGGGGAGAGGGTGGGAGGAGGGACAAGACGCCCTCCCCGCCCGCAAACCGTCTCGCTCACTGTCAACCGCCCTCCCGACACATGCGTGGCACCCGGACCTGGCCCGAGCCGCAGCAAATTCAGCAGTCGTCTTTGGATGGGCAGCTAGTGGGGGCGAATCCACAGCCGCAGCCGCCGCCTCCGCCGGCGCCGCCGCCCGCCGCTGCCGCCGCAGCGCCGCCGCCGCCGCCGCCGCTGTCCGCCGCCGCCGCCGCCGCCGCGCCGCCCGCCGCCGCTGCGCCGCCGCCGCCGCCGCTGCCGCGCGCCGCCGCCGCCGCCGCCGCCGCCGCAAAGCCGTCGCCGCAGCCGTTGCCCCCCCCCCGCAGCCGCCGCAGCCGCCGCCGCCGCCAAGTGTACTCTGTATCGTTTTTTGTAGGGATGGTGGGGGGAGGCCGCATCGGGTTCGCTGCGCAGGCTCCGAATTTAGAGGCAGAGTGTGTTTCGTATGGTTTTTTACAAGGGATGGTGGGGTGGGGCCCTCATTGGCTCGGGTTGGCTCCCAGTCGCCTGGGGGAGGGGGTGTATATTAATAGGGAACAGTGATTAAGCCCCTCCCCGAAGGGGAAGAGAAGAGGGGTTTTCGGGAGTGGAAAGGAAGACCATAGTTAGACCACCTACGCCCAGAGGGCTGGCTGACGTCGGAGGTTTGGGAAGCCTCCCAGATGGGTTCAGCCAGAGTAACTAGACTGGGTCGGAGGATCCAGCCGCATCGCCGACGCATCGGCGATGTGGTTCGATTTGGAGCCCGATTTTCTCCGCGACGACGTCGTCGACGCATCGCCGACGTCACCGATGCGCAGTTGTTCACCGTTTCCGGCCTCGTGGGGCCCTCGCCGGACCCCATGTCCGACAGCTGAATGCCCTAGCAGAGCGCCCTCATAGCCGCAAAGCTAATGAGGCGGGTCGAGGAGTAGGAGGTCGGCTATAGGGATCGGGGGCGAGAACACGGCCACGCTCCCTTCAGTTTATTGTCTGGACCAAACATGTAGCGAGCACTGAGGCGAGAGCACGATTCTTAAGTACAGCGGGGGCGCGCTTCGAGAAACCATCTAGTTTTCGTCAGGGTACCCTGGATTGTTTCTCTTCGTGCGCTGCGCGGTGACTTCCCGCGGCCGTCAAAGGAGCTGCTGCGTTCCGGGTTCCCTGCTTCCCCTAAGGTGCACCTCGCGCGCGGGTTTTCAGGGTTGGGTTTTTATGCGAGGGTCTCTGGCGACCGCGCCCGCGCCGTACATTGTGAGGAACCCTCCAGTGAGAAACGGCTGCCGAGCCGCTGCCGAACCAGACGGCCTCGGGCTCCCCTTCCCCCCTTTTGGGACTTTCTGTGGTCCTTCAGAGAGTCAGGAGCCCTTGGGCATCGACCCCATGGGTACGCACTGTTTTTTTTTTGAGGAGGAGGAGGAGGAGGAGGAGGAGGAGGAGGAGGAGGAGGCGTCCTGCGCGGAACGTACCCCTGCGACTGCGCATCCACGGGACCGCGCCCGGGACCCTCGACACCTGCACCTTCCGCATGCCTTCCGCGCGGCAGGCGCCGCGGCCGCCGCGGCGGCGGCCGCCGCCGCGGCCGCGGCACGGCGGCCACTGTGGAGGCCGCAGCGGCCGCGGCCGCATCGTGGCGGCACCTTCCGCGGAGAGGTGCGTCAGTATCGTTTAACCGATCCCTATCTCCATCCCCATCCACATCTCGAGCCCCACCGTCTCCCCCCCTCAGATGGGATGTGCCACTCGAAACCCGAAGAGAGCAGCCCAGATCCCCGTCAGGGGGGTAAATCGGTCAGTGGAGCCCAGCCCACGCTGGCGGGGATGGGGATCGGTTAATCGAACGATGCTCAGCGGCACCTTCCGCGGAAAGGTGCGGAAGATGCAGGTCGAGGGAGATCCGGACCGCGAGGGCTTGGGTATGTGTCAACTGCACGCAGGGGTGACCTTTCGCTGAAGGGACCTTGTGGTCGGGGCCCAAGGGGGGGGCGTCCGCCGATCGCCGAACGCGACGCGGCAGTAGCGTTTTGCGCGCTTGTGTGTGGCTGCCCCGCGGCTCCCCCAAAAAGCCGCGCACCAAAGGTAATTCTTGCCCAGGGTCTCTCTTGCGTGCAGTCGACTGGATGCTCTCGCCGCCCGTGAGGCTGCTGCTGCTCGAGATGTGCAAGCCGCCCGACGCCTGCAAGCCGCCCGAGGCTTGCAAGCCGCCCGCGCAGACGGCCGCCCCGTCCTGGCAGGGCTGCACGCTGCCAGCGGGCGCCCAGGCCCGTCGAGCACGCGTAAGCTCCTCCTCCTCCTCCTCCCTCCTCCTCCTCCTCCTCCTCCTCCTCTTCCTCCTGCTCCTCCTCCTCCTCCTCCTCCTCCTCCTCCTCCTCCTCCTCCTGTGACCTTTCGCGGGCGATCTTTAGCCGTGGGAAGCAAATCTTGAGCAGTGGCGAGGCGTCCTGGCTTTCCCAGGGGCCCGTCACAGAATGTTCCGAGAACTCGTGGTGTGTTGCGCGACATGCTCTCGGAGCGTTTCTGGCAGAGACCGTTTTGTTTCAGCACATCGGCTTTCTGTTCTAAGAGCATGGTTCTTGCTCTTCGAAAAATTATGGGTATCTGAGAGCATGTCTTGTGTTGGCTTATAGGAATGCCGGGACGGTTTGTCCCTGTTCCAAAGTAAGACCCCCTCCCCCTTCGGATGAAACAATATCGCAGCCGCACCCCTGAAGTGTTAGCCTAGCACTTGGCGCCCACTGGCCCCTGGAGCCATTCTGTCACGTGGTCCAGTAAGGACCCGCTCGGGCGCAGCCGCGCCATGCGAGCGGTGCCACTTGGGCCTTCACGAGAGTTCCCGATGCGATGTCCAGTATGTTACCACACCATGGTCGAATGGGTGGGGGCAATAAGCATTGATTATCTTGCACAGGGTGTCTAGAGCTCCGACCACTTTATCACGGCACGGCACCCCCTCCATCACCCACCCATTCCACCAGCCAGCGTGCCCCCAGCGCGCCCCGTCTCCCCCACCCCATCCCCCAACCCAGCAGCCAGCGCGCCCCCGACCCTTTCATTTCGGCACGGTACCCCCCCCATCCCACGCACCCCTTCTGCATCCCCCCCACCCACCAGCCAGCGCGCCCCCTCCGCCCCGACCCTTTTATTTCGGCACGGCACCCCCCACACCCACCCAGACCACCATCATTCCCCCCCGCCCACCAGCCAGCGCGCGCCCTCCGCCCCGACCCTTTTTATTTCGGCACGGCCCCCCCGCATCCCGTGAGCCCCCCCCTGCATCCCCCCCACCCACCAGCCAGCGCGCCCCCTCCGTCCCGACCTTTTTATTTTGGCACGACCCCCCCCCATCCCACGCGCCCCCTCCGCATCCCCCCACCCGCCAACGCCCCCTCCGGATCCCCCCCACCCACCAGCCAGCGCGCCCCCTCCGCCCCGACCCTTTTATTTCGGCAACGGCACCCCCCACCCATCCCGCGCGCCCCCCCCCATCCCATCCCACCCGCCACCAGCGCGCCCCCTCCGCCCCGACCGTTTTATTTCGGCAGGGCCCCCTCCCCATCCCGCGCGCCCCCTCCGCACCCCCCACCAGCCAGCGCGCCCCCTCCGCCCCGACCCTTTCATTTCGGCACGGCACTCCCCCCCTATCCCGAGCGCCCCCTCCGCATCCCCTCCACCCACCAGCCAGCGCTCCCCCTCCGCCCCGACCCTTTTATTTTGGCACGCCTCCCCACACGCACCACACACACACACACACGCACACGCACAACGCACACGCACACGCACACGCACACACACACACACACACATCCCCCCCGCCCACCAGCCGGCGCGCCCCCTCCGCACCCCCAATCCCGCGCGCCACTCTGGATCCCCCCCGCCCGCCAGCTAGCATTTTAATTCGGCACGGCACCGACCCCCCCATCCCGCTCGCATTCTCCGCATCGCCCCGCCCGCCAACCAGCGCGCCCCCTGCGCCCCATTTTTTTGTACGGCACCGCCCCCCCTCCCATCCCGCACGCCCCCTCTGCATCCCCTCACCCGCCAGCCAGAGCGCCCCCTCCAGCCCCTTTATTTCGGCACGGCGCCGCCCCCCGCATCCCGCGCTCATTGCGGACCACCCACCCACCAGCCATAGCGCCACCTCCGCCCAGATCCTTTTATTTTGGCATGGCACCGCCCCGCCCCGACCCCTCACTGCAGGCCCTCCGCATCCTCTCACCCACCAGCTGGCGCGCCCCCCCCGCCCGCGCTCCCTCCGCGCCCCCCCCACCCGCCAGCCAGCGCACCCCCTCCGCCCCGGCCCTTTTGAGTCGGCGCGGCACCGCCTCCTCCGCCCTGACACCTTCATTTCGGCACGGCACCGCCCCCCCCATCCCGAGCGCCCCCTCCGCATCCCCCCATTCACCAGCCAACGCGCCCCCCTCCGCCCCGACCTCTTTATTTCGGCACGGCACCGCCCCCCTCGAGTGGCCCCTCCATCGCCCCATCCACCAGCCAGCGCGCCCCCTCCGCCTCCTCCCCCATTCCTTTCTTTGCAAGAGCCATGGCACGCGTGCCACTTGTTTGTTGCGGCTTGGCGCGGTGCTACATATATCGCTCCGCTGAATCCGCCTTGTCGGATTATGTATCTTCGTTTCGGTGCTAACGATAACACAGGGGGTGTGCTCTCATTGGATTCTCCCTGCTATTGCGGGCCGACACGCGACCTTCCAGAGAGGGGCTCGTCTTCGAGGGATCGAGAGTTAGCACCTCTTCTTCGGCGGAACGATGGTGGAAGGCGACGGAAGCAAAGCGAGGCCGCCTCCGCCGGCGGAAGGCTGGCGGAAGACAGCGGAAGTAAAAGACAGCCTCGTTCAGAGATCGACTACACGTAAGAATGACCTTTCGCCGGAGTGACCTTTGGTGCGGGCCCATTTGGGGTCTCCCGATCGCCGAGCGCGATGCGATAGTAGCGTCTTGCGCGCACGTGTTTGGTCCCCCCGCGGCCCCGAAAAAGCCGCGCACCAAAGGTCACTCTTACCCAGGGTCACTCTTGCGTGCAGTCGAAGAGATGGCAGGGTTGTTTGGTTCAGGATTTCCAGAATTCGTCACCTGGGTCCCTCCTGCATTGGCTTGCGAGCGCGCTTGGATTTGCCTTACCCACCGCCCCCGAAATCCGCGCACCAACGGTCACTCTTGTTGAGGGTTCCCTCTTGCGAGTAGCCGACAGGCCCGCACGCCGCTGGCCGCGGTCGCAGCCGCCCGCACGCCCCTGAGCTCGAAGTCCAGGCCGTTCGCGCCGCAGCCGTTCGCCCCTGGGTTCTACCCAGCGGCCGCTCCCGCCTGTCAGTGGCAGGGAGCCGCGCCCTTCGGTGCTCCTGTGTGAGAAACTCACGGCGGGGGCGTTCGTCAAGGAATGTGCCCAGGAGGCTTCAGACCCTGGGAGATTCCTTGGCCGAGAAGGGCGGCGGTGACATCCATGGCCAAGCCTCAATTGGTTTCCAACCGGCTCCCAGACCCTGGGTATCCAAAGGTTCCTTATCCGATGCCCTCAGCGTATCCATGTCCACGGCCTCGCGGGCTGGACCTCTTGGCCGCGATCCCACGGATACCAGGCGTTGTTTCGCGGATGCGTCGCGCGGAGCCTATCCATGCGACAGGGTATCCACGGGATCGCCCCCCAGAATGCAGCTCGCGAGGACGTGGTCATGGATCATTGTTTTTTGTGAGGTGTCGCAACCGAGCCCGTGGGCGACTGGTTCAAGGCAGAGGCGAAGACGGAGGATGAGGAGTGGACCACCGTAATGCTGTGCGGCTTCCCCCGGAGCTACGACCGCGACAAGCTGGTCAACCTGCTGGACTCCCACGGATATTCCGGCATGTTTGATTTCGTCTACCTTCCGATGGAGTTTGAGTATTCGGAGTGCGTCGGCTACGCGTTCAGCCTTCTCCTCCCCCCGCTCCTCCCTTCTCCTTCTCAGCTCGGTGATCAGTGCAGACCTCTCGCTCATCCTCACACGTGCGAGAACTGGACCGAGGAGGCTTGCTAAAGGACTCCACCCCCAAGGTCGGGGTCTCTCTCGAGCCCGCCTCTTGTTGCCCCATCTGAGAGAGGTCCTCTGACAGTGGATGTCTGTAACAGGAAAAACCATTATCCTCCTCCCCATCCCTGGCATGCCTTGTTCAGAAATGTTCCTCCCAGGCCTGGGCTGCGAGCCTGGGACAGCGGGCCCCGGTCAGTGGCTCAAAAAAGGAAGGCCGTCGCGCCCGTGCGCGGAGAGCTCGGCCGGGCCTGGCCTGTCTTGTCCTGATTCGCGCGCGAAGGCGATCGCTTCCCCAGCGAGCGTGGTGTTCCTCTCCCTCCTCTTCCTCGTTCTGCGATCTGCGCTCCTCTCGCCCTCCTTCCTCCCTGAGCACAGGTTCGTCAACCTGACCACTGCCGCGGCCGCGCTGCGCCTCAAGGCGGCCTTCGAGGGCTTCGCAGGCCACCCCTTCGCGGGCGACAAGCCCTGCCGCACGAACTGGAGCCGAGTGCAGGCCCGCCCACGCCGCCATCTTTCCCCCCCGCCGCCCGGTCCCCGCCCCCTCCTCCGCCTGTCCCGCCCCGTTCTGGTCCCCGTCCTTCCCCTCCTCCTCCGCCCTGTCCTCCTCTCCTGCCCCCCCCCTCTGGTAACATCGCACCCGCAGGCAGCCAGCATCAAAAACCCGGCGGGCTTGATGCGTAAGTTGTATATCCCTGATCTGCTGAACGTGGTGTTTGTTTGTGTCAACCTGGTAGACTGCATGTACCCCCCCTTCCCTTCTCTTCCCCTCCTCCTCGCCCTCCTCTTATCCCCTCCCCCTTCTTCTCATGATCCCCCCCTCCTGTTGGCTCCCGTTGGCTCCGATGCCGTCTGTTACCGCTGGTAGAGCGCCTAAGATAAAGCGGCGGAAAGCTGTGATTGGGGATCAAAGGAACAAGAAATTAAACAGGCAGCGGGCTCGCCTCCTCAAACGCCCAGCCAGCCAGCTGCGAGGTTAAAGGGACCGATCTCCCCACGAACTCCTTCGTGCTACGGTCGACCCCTCGCTTCAGCATCCTCAATGATCCCTCTGCGTGGCGAGTACGTGGACGCTCTGGCACTCTTGGAGGAGGTAGGGCCGGGCTCGAGAGCTCCCGAAAGCGCCGCAGCGAACACACCGAGCAGCCTTGCCCCGCATGAGCCGCAGTTTGTCGAAGGAGTTGCTGGTCCGCGCAAACCTGGGCAGCCCACCGCAGGGGAGCACATTCACCGCGGCACGAGTCGTTCCTCGCCCGCCACGGTGCAGACACATGTCAATCGAGTGCATGGCCTTCGGGGTCGGGAATCAGCTCCAGCGGGCAGGGCTTGGCCCGACGGGTCAAATGCACCTTCGAAACAGGAGGAAAATCCTTCGCAGCAAGGCCGTCCATGAGTTCAGCAATCAGCCATGCCGACTGCCGAATCACAGGCACCAGCTCTCGAAACCTGTCACGCGTCCAAGGAATGTGGTGCTGAGCCTGGGCACCTTCCCGGGCCAGCTCGTCAGCTTTCTTCTCACCCCTCCACATCCATTCTTGAACTCCTAACCTATGGGCTTGGGTCAGGGAGAGGTGAGACGTGATTTTGAACACGAGGATCCTATCGAAGCCTATCTCATTGGCAATCCTAAGGATCTCAGCCCATATTCAGAGAACGCCACCTTCTCCAAGTTTTGGTTGGGGTCCCTCTCCCAGGTGTCCTGGACCGCCTTGCAGTCCGTCGCTATTTCGTTGGAACCGTATCCCGCTTATCTGGGACTTCTCAAGAAAGCGTAAGCTTCCCCGCAGCCGTTGGTTTGCACCGCATGTGGCAACGGCCCATCGGCAGATCCGGCCCAGAACATATCCGTCGAGCGCCACGGACACGACAGCCCATCCAGCACGGGTGATTTGGGGCACTTCCGGGTTCAGACCAGACCCGTCCACACACACACACAGGGCCCGAGACGCTCACTGGGTCAGACGACCCCCCACTTTTGTCCAGCCTGGGCATATGGCGAAGACAATTGCCACTCGGGGCTCACAACCAGCGTTCGGGTGGCCTCCTCCCCCCCTCCTCATCCTGGACCTCCTCCCCCCTCCCACCACCTCCCCCCCGGGCTCCCCTCCTCCTCATCCTGGACCTCCTCCCCTCCCCCCCTCCTCATCCTGGACCTCCTCCCCTCCCCCCCTCCTCATCCTGGACCTCCCCCCCTCCTCATCCTGGACCTCCTCCCCTCCCCCCCTCCCCTCCTCCTCCCCTCCCCCCCTCCTCATCCTGGACCTCCTCCCCCCTCCCCCCCGTGCTCTCCCTCCGCTCCCGCAGCTGTGCCCGCCGCTGCGCCTCCCGACCGCGCCCGTGTTCTCTCCCCCGCCCGCCCGAGACCCGACGCCGCGAACGGTCACGACCGGAGCCCCGGTGGGCCCCGGACGCGGCAGGGCTGTTTTTTGGTGCCGTTTTCTGAGAATTTTCGGGGGCGGCAAAGAGGGGGGTGATGACTAGGGGGGGGTGGATATCATGGCGGGGGGCATGATATTTCCCCAGATTTCGTGGCGCCTCTTCTTGTTTCATTATGTCCCTGGCCCCCCCGCTGGGCCGCGCACATGCCGCCGGTCATGATTTGCACCCCCCCCCCTTGGGCACCCCCCTCTTGGCCGCTCCCGAGAGAATGTCTCAGGAGAAGGGCAGGACAATTGCTCCCAGAAGCGGGGAGCGAATTACGCTGGGATCGGTACCAGAACCAGGAGCAGAAAGATCACGGCGACACAACGGGGAAGAAGGCCAGAACCGGCAACATGAATAGCGAAGCGGAATAGGTCGAAATACTTGCCCTCTCATTAGCAGGGCCCACCAGAGCCCTGTGGCCGGGAATTTTACATCGGCGTGTCGCGCCGCCGGTTTCGGCCCGCCGCGTTTCGACGCGACACGCTGAGCAGGTCCCATCACTTCAGGCCTCAACGTCCCGAGCTCTTCTCGGCCTCCCGTCCCGCTAAGTGGAGCGACGCGCTATCATCTCGCAGGGCGTAGCGTGTCGCAGGGGCCGCCGCCGCGACACGCTAAGCAAGAGCTCCCGACCGCAAGGCTCTGGCATGTTGGGACTCGAATTAGCTGGCGCTTTGACGGTCTTGATTGGAATTTTGACGTTCCAGCTGTCTTGAGAGATGTTTGCAGCGGGAGTTCGCGTTGGAGTAAGGGGAGGGAGCAGGATCGGGGAAACGAAAGGCACGAGTTTGCCAAGACTCGGATTTGCCGTCGCTTTTTGACGGTCCTGGTTAGGATTTTCATGGTCCAGTTTTCGTGGGAGGTGTTTGCAACTGGCGATCGCGTTGAAGAAGGAGAAGGTGAAGTATCGTGTACACATACGATTTGAGTTTGCCGGGCCTCGGGTTAGCTCGCGCTTTTTGACGGTCTTGTTTTGGATGCTGACGGTCCAAATATCATTCGGGATGTTTGCAGCGGGATCTTGAGTTTGAGAAAGGGAAGGGAGATGGACTGGGGAAGCGCAAGGCTCGAGTTTGCCAGGACTCGGTTTTGCTGGCGCTTTTGATGGCCCTGGTCTGGATTCTGACTGTCCAATTGTCGTGAGAGATGTCTTTGCAGCGGGAGCGCATGCTGGAGCAAGGGGAGGGAGAACACACCCGGGAAGCGGATAAGGCTCGAGCTTGCACGGACTCGGAGTAGCCAGCGCTTTTTGACGGTCCTGGTGTGGATGTTGACGGTCCGGGTGTCGTGGGAGATGTGCTGCAGCAGAAGCGCCCGTCAGATTTCACATTGTGCCCACCTTTTTTTCCGACGACCCTCACAAACAGATTCTGGTCCCCAAAGCGCGAGGCGGCCGCCTCCCCGACCGGAAGAGAGAACGCCGAAGGAGAAGAAGTGCTTCCACCGCCCGGGCTGGACAGCGGGTCGAAGCCATGTCGCCGCCCCCCTGCGCTTCCAGCGCCCCGATCCGTAGTAGATTGAGGGACGCGACTCGCGTCAGCAGGTGCGACGGCACGCCGCGGCATGCGCGCGCTTCTTCTCGGTGCTGAGATCGGGGGGCGGGGAGGGGCATCTCCTGAGGCTGTTTTGGCGCCAAAGCTCATGCAAGCTTGTTCCGTCAATGGGCCTGCACGGTCTCATCGGGCCCTGTCGTCCTCTTCTCGATTTCGTTGCCCTTTCGCGTTCATGATCATTTCGCCTCCGTCGTCATCTTCTGTACTATGCGCCTTCGTCATCTTCTTCTCCACCAGAGATTTCGCAGGCCATGACTGAATACGATTCCGAGTATGCTGCTGGAGTGGTTCGACGGCTTGCACGGGCTCGGCAGAGTCTTGGGCTCGTCTGCAGAGCTCGCCATATCTATGATGAAGTGGCTCAGTATGCCATTTGGCGGCAGGTGGAATCCCATAACTACTGGCCAATTTCTCAATGAGCGTGCAGATCATCTGGCAAACCGTGGAGCCGGTGGCATCACACGTAAGTTTGCCGACGTGCGTCGGTGGTCCTGGCCTTCGGGCTGACCACGGTTCTCAGCGGTCAAGGAGCCCTCGTTCTTTCCATACCTCGCGCTCGTGCCTTTGTTCGCTTTGGGTTCAGCCCACCGCTCGCTTCGACAAGCGCCTCACCGTCTCGCACACTGTGGCGCCCGCGGACTTGAAAAGTTCCGCCAATCAATCGGAGAACTCCGCGGGCTCAACTGCGTGCCGCCAGAGCCAGGATCTCGAAGCGCGCGTGCAGGAAGGTCTCGCCAGGCTTTTCGGAGGGCGGTTGCGGAGAGTCCGCGTCCAGCGCCAGGGAAAACAGGAATCGGCTTGCGGGAGAAAAGTGGTTTTGTTGAAGAGGACGATGGCTCAGGAAGGCCGCGATCTGAGAGTTATCGTGGCTTCGGGGGTCTGGGCCAGGGGCAGCGGAATGGAGGGAGACCTCAGTCCTCGCTTTGGGCCGTCATGATAAAATTGGGGCCTGATTTGGCGTTGTCCTTTGGCCGCGAGGTCTGGTCGTTTCTTTTGCCACGGCGTAGTTGGCTTTCACGGCGCTAGCTGCCGAGGCAAGACTGACCGTTGCGCGGATATTTGCCAACCTGGGCTTGCATGTTGAGACCAACGAACGATCCCAAGGTGATGCTGTTTGAGAGAGCTCCAAGAGAGCCCCCCTCCCGTCACTTGCCCCTGTCTCGTCTCTCCTCCCCTTCTTTCCGTCCGCATGCACGGGAGTCGACAGCTGGATCAGCCTGCGTTGCGGGGTGGGGCTCCTCCGCCTGCCCCTGACAGGGCCTGGGCGCGAACGTCAAGCAGTACAGGAACAGCCCAATTATGCACAAGCTCGTGCCGGACGAATTCAAGCCCATGCTCTTCTGGAGCTCGGCCACGAACGAGGGGTCTCGGCTGCGCGTCATGTGCACGCCCTCGGCGCTTGGATCCAGGGGCGCGGTGCCGTGGACACGCGGTCGCATGGACTCGTTCTGCGCGGGGCATCCGCGAAGACACGGCCCGTGTCTGCGGGGCCACTGCCCAGGGGCCCAGCCCGTGAGACCGTGGATATGGGTTGGGGGAAAACAGTAACAGAAACAATCATTGTCGACGTTCCCAGCGGGTCTCGTGCATCGGCGCTGGAGCCCCCAGGCGGCGCCTCCTGCGCCGCCCCTGGCACGCTCCGCGCGCCAGGGAGGGGGCCTAGCGCCGGTCCAAGAAATCCACGCGGAGCTCCGAAAGTGTGTGTTCATGTCATTGTTTGTTGCCCGAGTGGGTTCCTCGCCCACAGTGCAGGGTCGAGCTTCTCAAAGCGCCCCCCTCCCGCACTTTCACAGCGTCCGGGCAACACGGCCCGGAGCGAACGGTCCTGTTCTCAGAGGGCCCCCGGGCTCTCTCGCCTCTCTCAGGCGGCTGCACTCCCTCCCCCCGCAGCCCAGCCACTCCCGCTGTCGCCGCCCAGGAACGGGCAGCCGCAGCCCTTCCCGGAGCCCACCACGGCCCTCAAGCAGCTGCGGCCCCACCGGAAGAAGGAGAAGGCGCAGAGCAGTGATTGAGACCTCTCCCGAGGGCAGCGTCAGGGGGGGGGAGGCTGTGGGGGGGGGGACGTAGTTATCGCACCCCCCCCATCGCCCACTCATCGCCGATGTAGCCGGGGCCCGAGAGTCCCGCTCCGCTCTGGGAGCGTGCGGTCTCACCCTCGGGGGCCTCCCGCCGACGCTTCGGGCGAGGTGTCGCCAATCCCAGGCCGATGCTGTCCTCCTGAGCCGCCCCCCCCCCCCCATGTTGCCCCTCAATGCACGCCAGTCGTTGAAAGTAGGTATTTCTGGATTCCCAGATCCCAATCTGCTTCGAGCGCCTTCCTACTTCAAGAATCGCCATGCTTTTGCTGCTTTTGTTATTCTCTGGGAGGGCCCGGACCCAATCCACTTTATCCGCCTTCCTACTTCATGTTTCTACCTACTTCTTCCGACCGATGTGTATTTCATTATGTAGCATAGTCGCAGGCCGGTGTGGCTTGAATCGCGGAGCACGCCGCTTGTTCCAGAGCTGAATGGCGGCGCGAGGTGGTACGCCCCAGGGCCAGTCTTGACTCGAGTCCAGGGCGACCGCTCGTTGGGATTCGCAGCCCGTGGAAGCAGTCCTGGCTCGAATAGCAAGCATTCCTGTACTCTGTGGGCAGATGACTCACCCGAGTCATGGCTCGCCGATGCGCGATCGGCTGGCGCGCTGGACAATGCAAGGCGTGCGTATGTGACGATACTAGTCCACAAACAGTACTTCGTAGGTTTGCAGACAGGGTGTTGCATTAATGGGTTTCCCGTGCGGCCCCACATTTTATATGTCGCAAACTCACATTTTGGCAGCCTCGCCTGAACAGGTCGCCGCTTGGGCGAACACTCCCCAGGCATCCTCGATCGCCTCCCTCCCCAAGCTTGCTCCTCCTTCTCACCCTCGCCTCCTTCTTCCCCTTCCCACCTCCCCTTCTCCTCCGCATTCCCCCCCCCTTCTCCCCCATTAGTTTTCCTCAGCAATTTCACATTGTTAACACTACATGTTTTCCCCCCTCTTTCTCTCTCTCTCTCTCTCTCTCTTTCCCTTCATTCAGTCTGGAAGATATCCAGTCCTCTACGCGTAATTTAACCCAGACCCGATTTCCAAACAAGCTGTTCCCCAAACAGTGCTTGCAACTAGGGGTTCTTATCTGTTTGTTGGAGAGAACTTGGCTTGCCCGTCGGTCTGGCGGCGCGCCGTTGTGGCCGCCGCCGTCCTGTCGTCGCCTCGACGCCGCCCGTCGTCTGGGCCTGACACGCGGTCTGACGGCTCCGTTGTCGCCGTCACCGCCCTGTCGCCGCCCGTCGTCTGGGCCTGATCGTCGGTCTGGCGGCTCTGTGGTCGCTGTCGCCGCCCCGTCGCCGCCCCGTCGCTGCCTCGTCGCCGCCCGTCGTCTTGGCCTAACCGTTGGTTTGGCGGCTCCGTGGTCACCGTGCGCCGCCTGCCCTATGTTTTGTACAGCAAGACAAAGTTTTAAAAACACAATAGCAAAACAAACTGTCGCTCTTTGCAACGCATCGACTGCGCAACACGTACGTTGTACCACATGGATTGCACCGCGCATATTGAACCACACATATTGGACAACATAGATAGCACCTCGTAGATTTCGCAACGGAGAGTGCACCGCGTACATTGCACATCATAGATCTCCCTTTCGGAAAATTATATCCCTTTCGGAAAATTAGGTCATACTTCCCCGTGGGTTTATCGGCACCCTTTGGGATAGTGCGGTGTATGTACGATTGCGCCCCATCTTACATCCCAAACATTGAACCATCAGATCCCAGCTGGACCCCTTTTCGCCCACCCCGATCCCTGTCACTTACATACTATGCGCACCCTCGCTTCATAGACATAGCCCATGTCATTGATTACCTTGCAACAGACGGAGCAACGTCGACATGCGCGCGTCGTCGCGCGCGCATGCAGCTGTTGTTCGAAACCTCAGGTCCCGTATGGAATCCAAGACCGGCGCCACGGCTTTGAAGCACGTTCATGTCGAAACATCTGCGCGCGCGCTCTTGCGAACATGCACGAGAACCGTTTGTCTGTTCCAGCATGCCCATCACGTGCGACAAAGTGGGCCTTTCACACGCGCATGTCGAAATCATTCGAACGCCCCTGGCGCGCTTGCTGGGGGTAGCGTGACCCCTTTTCAAAGCATACCATGTGGGCCACTCGCGCCAGCCGTCCGCGCGCATGTCGAAGTCCCTCTAGCATGTTTATCACCAACGCGTGGACACCATCATCGTCATTGACATGACCAGCATCGGCGCCGCTGTCATTGTCGCCATCGTCACCAGCATCGCTACTATCATCATCGTGGCTCCCGTTGCCGATGTCGCCATGTCACCGCGCCCGCCTGGGCCACCGACTCGGACTGAAGTGCCCGCGTGTCAGCGCGGTTTGCGAGACGCGCGGGGAAGTTCCCAGCGGTCAGCGCCACCTCGGCCGCATCGGTTGCATTAGACTAGCTGGCCGCCCAGCGCGCGAGCTTGCGCACTTGCGCCGCCGCAGCGATGCACCAGCCAACGCCAAGCAGTCATCGTAATCGCCGCCGCATGGGTTTGCAAACGGGTGGGTGTGTGGGATGATTGCGCGAGCAGTGGGGTTGACAACTCACGAATGGGCACTTGTTCAGTGCACCAAGTAGACTGCACAACACATATCGTTATATATATAAAAATATGATTACATATATTGCGTCACCTATAGTGCTCCACGTAGAGTTTCCCACTTCTATTGCGCATCACACAGGTTGCACCACACATTGCGCCACTTAGTTTGCACCATTTTTGCACAACACAGATTGCACAACCTAGATTGCAAAACATATCGTTGCACAACATTTCATGGCACCACACATGAAGCACCACGTATGCGGCGCACCATAGATTGTCCACATCTCTAGAACCGCACTGTTTGGGGCCCGTGCTGGGCAACATGTGCGAAGCTTTTCGGGAATCCGATTGTTCTCGGTGTTTTCCAAGTGATGCTCCCGCTGCAGCGTGTGCTTCATTTCCGGATCGGCGCGCCGCCCCCCGTCGTTGAGAAGGGCGCTCTCGCCCCAGCGCGCGCAACTTTTCTTGACCCGGGTCATTTGTTCATCGTTGCCGTCTCCCTCGTTTCCCTTCCTCCGCCTTCCCCAGGTCCTCCTGCCCCTCCCGATCCTTCCACGCAGTTCCTCCTGCTGCTGGCCTTCCTGATCCGCCTCCTCCTCCCCCTCCTCCTCCTCCTCCTCCTCCTCCTCCTTCTCATTATGTTCATCCTCCTGCTCACCCGCCACCTCCTCCTCCTCCTCCTTCTCCTCCTCCTCTTATGTGTGCAGCTCCCGTTTTCCGATTGCGCCTAACGCGATGTTTTTTTGGGGGGGGGTCCAGGTCGGTCATGACACGGGTCCGTGGATAGAGAAACAAGTACACCTCACCCTCTCCCCCCGCCCTCTCCTCCTCCGTCTGCCCGAGGGCCCTCTGGGTGACAGGCAAGTGTCTGTAACAGTTGCAGTCGTAGTTTCTGCGGTGATACCCCCGCCTGCTGACTCGGATTCTGTACAGAAGGTCCCGCTCTCAAAATAGATCGACGTGAAATAGGATGTGTGCGCCGGTGCGCAAGGTGTGCGCAGCTCTCCTGGCCGCCACGAGTGCCAGGTGCGCCGTACGCGACAGGTGCGCAATGTGCGTCCCATCTGCGACAGGTGAGGGCCTTTGGTTTGATGAATGTCACATTCGACTGCTCTCTGGCGCCTGGGCGTTCACCGCGCCTCCAGAGCGTAGTGGCCAAACGTGCCACCATCAGCAGGATTGTGACATTTGTGGAGGCAAACCCTTGAAGCCTTGCCCTCAAGCGCGCACTCCCTGTATACAGTGGTCGCAGCACCGCCCCCAAGTACGACCCGTGGCTCCATCGATGGCGGCACCCTTTCCCAATGTCCCGCGCGGGCCAGGCGACACAAGCCTCAGCGATCGTAAGCTTGCGTATGTGGCCGCTGCTCTTGGGGGTCCGGATGGGGGCGATGGCGCCTAAAGCGCCAGCGAAGCGCGGGAACCCGCGCGCGAGCAACGGGCGCGAAGCGCTTCCGACGAGAAGCTCAGCTTGCGGTTCCAGCTTGCCTCGCGAGGGGGCGCGCGAGGCCGAGGCTCTCCAGGTGGTTCTTGCAGCGCGGGCTCTCGCCCACGCCCGCCGCAGACTCGTGGATAAGGTGGAGGGGGATGCTCGTCTGGAAGCGCGAGGAGGAGGCATTTCTCGGCGGTGAGCGGGGGGGGGGGAAGTGAAGTGAGAAGGGCGAGGCCCTCGTAAAAGGCGGCGGGGCTTCTCAGAAGCCCTCTTCCAGACTTCTTGTTTGCATTTCCGGGGAAGGTTCAGAGAACAAATCAGAAGGCCTGGGGACATCTAGCATTCTGAGAAGGCCCGCCCCTTCTCACTTCCCCCCGGGGGTCGCCGCCGAGTGTCAGCAAAGACCCATACACGATCCAGAGTGCCGGGTGGCGGGGGGCCGCCAGTCGGCTCGAGCGCCAGTGGAGCATGGGCTGGCAGTTGCACCAAGCTTCGCGGCCGCGGGAGGAGGAGGCGGATCCAGGAGGGACACCTCACGAGTCAGAGGATACACGCGGCGATTCAGGAAACGATCTGAGGCTGCGCTCTTTCCACACAAGCTACAGGGAGCATGCCGAATTGTTCAGAGTCGGGAGATCTGAGGGTGAGGACCCCTTCTGCGGGAACTACTGTATCGCACGGTGCCGAGGAAACACCAAAGACAGGTCCCAGATCTCGGTGGGCGATGTGTTGAGAGTTCACACTCGTCTCAAGTCGGGAACGGTGGGCCCAGACGAGGCGTCAGCTCACATGATCCGTCTTCTACTGTCGAATTTGTTAAAACACATCCGTCGGCATGCACATCGGGTTGCCAACCGTTTTACGGTTTGCGCCCGATGATTTGGAACAGTCTTGGGTAATTTTGCACCCGCAGGCGGCCTGTATCAACAACCAGGTGAGCGTGACACATTACTTGTATAAACCAGCACTTGAAATTAACAAGGTGAACCGGTACCCCAGCATCCCCCTGATTTGCTGAATGTATGGCTTTGTTCAATAATATCGTCAACTACCTGCATCGCCCCCCCTCCCCGTTTCTTTCCTCCTCCTTCTCCTCCTCCCTCTCCTCACCGTCCCCGTCCCCTTCTCTCTTCCTCGCCTCCTTCCCCCCCTCCTCGTCCTCATCCTGGAGTTCCAAAGCCCAGCAAAAGCCCGAGGGACCACCAATTTACTTAGCAGCCGACTACGTCGAATCGTTCCTTCTCGTAGCTTTCTCCTTCCAGGTTTTCTCCTCCTCCTCCTCCTCTTCCTCCTCCTCTTCCTCCTCCTCCTCCTCCTCCTCCTCCTCCTCCCTTCTCCTCTGCTCCCCCCTCCCCGTTTGAAGTTCCGCCTCGCCTCCCCTCTCTCCCCT